AGGAAACTATCTTTGTTTATATGATAGGCCTAGTTGACTTTGGATACCTACTGCAAGTACACTTCACTACTTACTTGCATCACAGAGTAAAGAGTAGACTGTCTACACACTTATATCTGTGATTGCATTGAATATACTACCTAGCTGTTTTATTTATTGTACATAAGACATGTAACAAATCGTTTGAGTGTGCTAATGTCGAAAACAGTTTTTTCTTGACTCTTATTGGTACTTATTTGATTATGATCAGGGAACAAGTAAATGTTAGGTAAATGGTTTCAAGTTGGTTAGACAACAATAAAAAAATAATACTCATTTTAGTAACAATTTTTGATACCTAATAGAAATCAGCAAAAGACCAGACAAAAAAAATCCATGAAATTTGTTTCAGCAGTTCCATAAAAAAAGGACCAATCTATAAGAAAGAATGTAAAAAATCTATGTTTATAAATAGTCAATAGTTCAATGGTTGGGCCAAACTGATTTAATTTTCGTTTTGATTTCCTCTGAGGCCAAAACACCATCGTTCAAATTCATATATCTTGGCTAGCCTATATAGCCTACTGTATATATATGTGTGTCCATTAGCACTACAACAAATGCTATACGGTAGGCTAGCAAAAATGATCCCATTTCCATGAATTTGGTAGGAACATGTAAACGTACGTTTATTCTCTAACGAGTTCAACAACCAGTGAGATTAGACCATGGAAACGAGATTTAAGGAGGGATTTATAGGGTAAAAATAGGTTTTTTCTCATTTTTGACTCTCAAAACATAAGATTTTCCAATTTCTTACCGACCCATTTTGTAGAGCTTAAAAAAAAATAATTATATTGAAGCGTTTTTATGCGCTTAATTGTTACGGAGATAATTTTAAAAAATGTAAACTAAAATTCCTATGTTATTCTTATGGAAGATCTGATTTAGGCAATTTAATTAGATTTATTATTGACTAGGCTATTAACATTTGATCAAAGAAAAAAAAACACCTTTTCCCTTTTCTGTAGAAGCAAACCTAATGTTATTTAAAAAAAAGGGAATGAATATGTCTTTTTAAGGAGATATTTGTATGAAAATTGAATCAGGCAAAGGCAAATGGAAATTCGCTTAGTCTGCAGGTTTGCTGCGGCGGGGGTATTTATACTTTTAACGTATATCTAGAACCATTTTAGAAATACCACAAATGTTGAGTATTGAATTATTTTTTAATTCTCTAACACGGACAGTACCTACTTTGGTGTTCCTGAAAATTATCGGGTACCCAGACTTTAATATACAAGGATTAGCAGGGAGGCTCGACATAAACCCAAGACTAATGTTATATATGCTGTGTGCGTGGCGTCGCCTATGAGCACACAGTATAACTAATGTTGCTTGCCCGCGCTTAGCCTTAACACATCACTTTCATCTACATAACTTTAGTAAGTTTAATCTTGTGTTTAATCCAAGTCAAAGTCGCTCCTTTGTTACGGTACCTAAGTAGTTTATTTATCCTATGAATCTTCTTACAAAACATTTTAGTTTTATTATGTGCTTGTATAACTTACTAAGTTTGTTTGTATAAAAAACAAATTACTAAATTTTGACTAATCTTAGTCAAGTTACCATTATAGGTACATCCTATATGAAGGGGAAAAGAAATTTCAAAATACCCATACTTTATGTTACTTGTTTCAATCATATTGAATTAATTGGATTAATAATGTGTGGAACACCTTGACATTAATGTAGACTAAACTGCAAAGGCGCAAAGTATAAAACTAATCTATATAATTAATACGCTACATGAAACTTTGTCGGTTGAACTCCTCCGCCATTTCTGAACCGATTTTATCCATTGACGTCTCATTGGAAAGAGCATTTCGCGTAGATTTGCAAACTGACCTTACATTTTTGAAAAAGTCCCTTGGGCTCTGTTCCAGTGGCTGTTAAAGTTTAATTTAATTGCTGTTATTTATTTTTCAATTCAAAGTATTTTAAACTCATCGGAAATTATGATGACTTTTTAATAAATAGTCTACTTTACTTCTTTGCTATTGGTCGATTTCGAGCAACGTGTTTACTAGTTACTGATGAGTATGGGTTATTGACATATATATTTAATTCATCAATTGTACTTACGTATAAAAATAAATTTATTTTTAGCGAATTTCCCATTTAGGGAATTTAAGCTGTCAGTAGTCGCCTTAGAGATTGCGGGGCCCAAGGCGATGTTCAATAACGGGCCTCTCTTAATACCTGAAATACGGCTGTGCAGGGCCCCTGAAAAGCGTGGGGCCCCAGGCACCGCCTTGTACGCCTATATGCAGGGCCGCCTCTGTAAGCTATTACCGTAGGTCTCAAGGTAAGACTTGGACCCAGGGCTACTTTTCTGTTTTGATGTCCACAGAGGCCAAAAACACCATCTGTTCAAATTCAAATAGGACTACAGGGTACTTTGATAATTATGTTTTTACAGGGTTGCCACCGAATTTTTGAGGCCATTTTTCCTGACTCATCCTGACTTTTCCTGACAAATCTGAGGAATTTGTAACTATCAGACAAGCACTTCAATGGTACAACTATAGTCAAGCAGAGGAAAAGTGGTACAGATTCAACAAAAAGCTTACGTAAGCGTGGCAAAAAATCTTGAGCTATAGAAGGGTCTAGTTTAACCATACTGGAGTGTCTTACAAAGATACTTCACAGCGAATAAATTTATTGCCTAAGCTGTCCTGAAATAAATAATTTTCGCTCATTGGTAGTTAACAGTGAGGAGCCATGGAAAATACTGATCTTAGTCAGTAACAAAGCTACACAGGTCATCACACACCATTCTACACTCATCCTTCACTCATATTTGGGTTAAAATATGCACGTAGGTGACATCCCTATCTCAATGATTGATAATTGATAATTGAAAAATTGATATTTTGTGTTAGGTAGGCTATACAAAAACTTGCATCCGTCTCCCAACAGAGGGTGAGTAGTGCATTCTGTGGTGCAAAAGTGTAATTTCACGTGTGAGAGACGATGTTGTCCTCGGGGATTGTAACCACAATCTGCTCGGATGCGATTGCACCCCAATCCTACCCCTTTCCCACCCTCAATGTTTGATTTTATTGTTTCTGCTAGAATTCGGGATATAGTAGATGAAGTGCAAAACAATAAGTTCTGTACAAAATTAAGACCACTGACTGTTAATTTAAAGGTTTATAGCCTATAGTCAAATAATTAGTCTGTTAGAGAATAAATTCATGCAAAAATGGTCCAATCCAAATGAGTAAGCGTGAAGCAGTGAATCTTGGTCCCAAAGACATGAGATCATAAGAACATTTTTTGGAAATTTGTTTATCCTGAGATTTTTTATGACTACTTTAAAAGTTAAAAGCCATAAACTCAGAAATAGGAAAAGGGTAAATTTGTTTCCTGAACTCTTAATTTACTGATTATTCTGAATTTCAATACTGTTGGAAGGGCCAAAGTTATTGTAAATATATGTTTGTATCTACTCAAATTCAGTTTGTTATTATGTATTTTTGTATATATTGAAATTCTGACGCCATCAATCCCTTATTGGGTAAAAGATGAAGACATGGTAATAATAAGGGTAATAGGCACCCAATAAATTTGAACTACATAATCATCCCATCTTAGAGGCTATCCACATATACGTAACGCTCTTTTAAAGTGTAATACAAAGAGTGACGAGGAGTGGGGAGAAGGTTTTCAAGATAATTAATGTCAGACTGAGCTGAGGGCTGCTAAAAGATCAACAGGTCGAAGGAGCTAGGAGTACGATGACCGGATGACCCCCTCCCCTCACCCACACAAAACATGTTAGCCTACGGAGAAAGTATTGTTTTCAAAGAAAATTCCAAATTCTAGTTTTTGGGAGGAAATATTCCTTTAGGGTCCAACTGAACCCAATAAAAAGGTTTTCAAAATTATGTCCGTGGGTGTGTCTGGATATGTGTGTGGATGTGTACAGAGCTACCGTACAGATAACAGATGTTGTCTGATTTCGATTAAATTTGGATAACTCACCCATTATATCTTAGTTTGTTTTTTTTTTAATTTTGATTTTTAAAGGAGATTCAAACCCATCAAATAAAAAATGGATATTCATAAAAACAGTTTAAATGCTGTTGATTAAAATTAAAATATACCTATTAGCCTATAGTTCTTTTTGTAAACAAAATGCTACAACCGGGATTGACGGGAAGCCTTAACCTCTAACCAGTAGGCCAAGAGCACAGAGAGCCGTTGTGTCAACCAATGCTTGTCTGCCATCAGATCTTGTGTGTATTCTCTCAATTTGATTTAAGTTTTGTGATAGATTTGTGTTAGCTCGTTCCGTATTAAGCCTATAGGCCTATTGCTTACCATGACATTGTCTGATGAAGAGGAATCATTGATTTTTGCTTGCTGTAGTAGAAAAGATTAACATGCAAATAAACTGTGGGTGCATGACAAAGGAAGGCTGAAATTCAAGGAGTACACACTCTTGCTTTAGCTGCAAAATTACGCTAAAAGGTTTTACATTTTATTTTTAAATGACTCAAGGATGTTTTGACGAATAGCTCAATTTGATTGCCGTTCTAACTCTGAGCAAGTGTTCAGTAAGGCTTCGCAAATGGTGCTGTATGGTAAGATAGGTAAAAAAATTACTAGGATAGTTTAGTTTCATTCCACAATATTAGTGATGGGAGAAAGCGCTGCAAACGATGCATACTGCGAGAAGAGCAAAACCCGAAGATTTCCTTTCCCTCCCTTGTTTTCCGCTCACCAAGACAGTGTGATGGTTCTCATATCCCACCAAGGGGGAAATGCTGCATGCGCGGAAAATTCTCTCATATGAAATTGTTCCCACACCAGTATGTAGGCCTACAGGCTTTTCAAAAATCCACTGGATATTGGCAGGTTTTCAGCCTGAGACTCATGGTCAGAAGACCTGCACTGTAGCCACTGAACCAGTTTAATCAAACTTAACTAAAAAAACGTAAACCAAATCTCACCTTTAAGTTGTCGTCAAGTTTCTGATCCACAGTATCGTTAGGCTCTGGCTCCTCTTCATTTTCCGACCAACACGTTTTCCACACCACAATGCTCACTTCGTTAGAGCCACTACACTGAGTCCCCACTGATGTCAAATTCCCCCCAAACTCTGCAGCTTCTGAGCATTCACTCTTTCCCACATGAGGTAAAACTTCAGCAGTAGTTTCCTCTATAGCATTATTTTCCACTACTTTAGCAGTATCTTCCTCAAGATTAGCATTTTCTTCCTTACTTCTCTCTATATTTCCTCCAGTATCACACGTTGATGCTTTAGTTACAGTGTAAGAAACATCTTTTAGTTCTTCATTAGGAACTGCACTGCTCATTTTGTTGTAGTTGTGACTGACAAAAGTTGTCAAATGTCTCTTTAATAAAGGTACCCTCTCAATGGAAAAGATGGTATTGGTGAAACGGATGAGCGAACTTACTCCAAAAGAAGTGAATCGGAGGAGGACCTGAAATTAATATTTTGATTAGTACCTAACTTACGTATTACCCTATTAAAAAAGTTTTTTTTCTGGATTGGAAGTTTGATTAAGGGCATTCAAGGCTTGAATTGAATCTTTTCAAAAAGAGGCTTCAAACATGAAGGCTGTTGATTTACCGTACTTAATTATGAGAGGGGTAAATTCTGGACGCTATTGAATTATACGTTAACTTAGGCCTATAAAAAACAGGTACCATACTCACTTTTCAGTTTTAGCTTCTAAACCTAAACCACCCACTGCAAAACGGTATAAAATATTCTTGAAAAACAGCCCTACGGCTTGAAATGTTCATATTCTTAAAATTCAATTAATTTTATAAGTTACTGATATGAGTTTTAACCTAACCTCACCCAACCCAACCACATTTTAAAATAGCAATATTAAATCATGAAATATGTATTATCATATGTTGTCGAATCAAACCATTTAGGGCTATATTCTGTAACTTGTGAATAGCTGATATGATTTATTGATGAGTAAAATTTTAAAATTTATTATATCAATAGATTATGGCCTGTAGACCATCAAAGTTCTTCCACATTGGTGGATAAGGGTAGATTACAGACTAGCTAAGTTATGCTAGTCTGTAATGTGTGTAAAGCAGTAAAGCAAAATTGTTTTTATTGCATACCTAGCTCTAACTTATTTACATTCTAAAAATCTACCGCAATTTAAAATGCTTTAGGCCTACTAATGCAGTAAGTATGGCATTTGTTGCCATAATTACAAAACTCGGCTGCACTATACTTTATGTCCTACACACTCATTCGAATGAAAATATCAATCGATATATCGTTTGGTTAGTTAGGTAAGGTTAACCTAACCTAACTAACCAAACGATATATCGAGTTAAACAATCGCATAATCGATATTTTCATTTGAATGAGTGTAGAACGTAAGAGGGTGCAGCCCAAATCTCAATTGAGGTTAAGTAAACATATTACTCGGTTCAATACAATTTTAAGATCTTACTAGCCTAGCATGAGCATAATAATTCAGCAGGGTAGCCCTTTTACAATAAATTTAAAGTGAAATGTAACAATTCTACAAACATGGAAGTTAGGCTATGGAGGTCTGAAATCACATAACATTTAAAGATAACATACTCTATTAATCAGCAATGTCATAGATTGATAAGGAACTAAGGTCCTTAATGGCTTTGATAATTGTTACAGTTGTAACTTTATTTCCAGGTTATATCGATATCGAAAGATTTCGCCGAATTAGCATAGGTTAACCACGCACATGTTTACACACAACACGAAACGAACGACATGACATGGACAGCTGATCAGCTGAAGCAGAGCGGTTTTGTATGACAACAGTTAGCAGACGACACAATGGACCAAAGAGTAAAAACACGATACGAAGTGTGTACTAGCAGTTATCCGGCGCGCGTTGCTGCACTAAGCTACAGTATTTTTAAATTGTAATTTGTTCTTTACGATAAACTAGTTGTTGCCCACGGGCTTCACCCCGTTTGACTTCATAAGTATTAATTAAACTATTGATTGGTTAGGTAAAGCTGAAATAAACAAAACAGAATACAGTAATACCATAGATAAAACAAACAAATAATCTCACCTGATTTTAATAAGGTAATAAATTGAAAGAATAACATACATTAGTTGTAAGGAAAGTTCCCTTTGGAAAGCAATTACGACCTTTTAGGGCAATTTAAGAAATAATGGATAGTTTTGCACAAGGTTTCTCGTCATGACGAACATTTTAAGTAAGTGGTTTATGGGGGTGTGACTTAAGTTCATGGGTTACTTACTTGAAGATACTTGCCTTTATATATAGGTAGTATTAGTATTAGTATTATTTTGAGTTCCTTCTTTTAATGACAGTAATGTGGTGGGTTAATGACAAACTAGTAAACACGTTGCTCGAAATCAAGCAATTGCAAAGAAGTAAAGTAGTTATTTAAAAGCAAATAAAATTCATCGTAATTTGAGATGAGTTTGAGATGACTTTGAATTGAAAAATAAATAACAGCGATTAAAATTATACAGCTGATCAAAATGTAAACAATTATGTTCTTCATAATGATAACATGGGATCTTTCAAAGCCACTGGGACAGAGCCCAATAGACTTTTTCAAAAATGTAAGGCCAGTTTGCATATCTACGCGACACGCTTATCTTTCCAATGAGACGTCAATGGATAAAATCGGTTAAGAAATGGCGGAGGAGTTCAACCGACAAAGTTTCGTGTAGCGTATTAATTATATAGATAGATTTGGAGACATTTGAATACCTGAGATAGCACGCACGATTATTATCACGGCCACCTTTAACTCCAGGCCACAGCCTTCGAAGTGACAACATCGCAAGTAGGGTTGTATCAGCTGTTTGTTTTCTTTTTCTTTTTTTTGAGGTGGCTACTGGTAGTTTGTGTATTTTTTAAGAATACAAAAGCTTGTTTACTGGGCTATGAAAATGTTGACTCCAATTTGATATGTACAAAAACAGATTTTCAATTTAAACATTAATTTGGTTTCCAATTCTATACAGGGTGGTAATAAAGTCTGAAGATAGTTAAATATTTTATTAAATAATTTTTATAGAGATACAATACTTGGTACAAAGTTACAGAGCATAATACTTTATTTTACCACATATTCAGTGATCCGATAATGCTTCAGGGGGACGGCCCACAAAGAGTCGGAAGAAAATCTTAAATGGAAGCATAGGTAAATAAATATTTTTTTAAATAATTTTTATAGTGATACAATACTTGGTACAAAGTTACAGAGCATAATACTTTATTTTACCACATATTCAGTGATCCGATAATGCTTCAGGGGGACGGCCCACAAAGAGTCGGAAGAAAATCTTAAATGGAAGCATAGGTCAATAATTTTTTCAACAATTTTTTGCACGTCAAATGAATGGTCTTTGTTAGTAGAATACAATGCCGCAAACCGCACTTCAAAAGGTCGATCCCGCGCAAAATGGCAGATGTTAAAAGATTTCTTGAATCTGCCATTTTGAATCTTTGAACGACTGCCATTTTTCACTCGGGCGTTCTTTTGAGCTTCAATTTACGGCATTGTAATCTACTAGTGAAGACCTTTAATTTGATGTGCATATCGACCTATGCTTACGTTAACAATTTTCTTCCGATTCCTAGGGCTATGCCCCCCCGAGGAGTAAGCGTATAACAGCAATGCAAATTAAATGAATCTTTGAACAACTGTCATTCTTGGCTCCGTTGTCCATTTAAGTTAAAATTTGCGGCATTTTATTCTGCTAGTAAAGACATTTAATTTGATGTACAAGTCAACCTATGCTTCTATTTATGATTTCCTTCTGACTCCTTGCGGGACGTCCCAATATGATATAAAATTGATATTTCCTAAAAAAAAAGGTAGATTCTTAGGTGTGGTGTTGATGTATCAAATCTTATTGATTTATCTGTTGTCGTTTGGAAAATATTTAACTGCCTTCGGACTTTATATTTTATTTTCAATCTATATAAATAAAATTAGAGTTTTGTCTGTACATTGCTCAGAATTATATATTTTTAGGTTATTTTTACGTTTTATACATTAAAGAAGCAAAAACGAGTCTTATCTCTATTTCTGTCTGTCCGTCTTTCCCTCTGTCTGTAACACTCAAGATGGCATTTTACGCAATCTTCTCCGTGAAAACCAGAGTACCTATCAAGATCCAAGTCATTTTAATGTATTCACTGGATTGGCGAGAGTGTCTTTAGTGATTAAAATATAGCCTCACTACGGACGTTCAATGCAGTTTTATGCGATTTTTGTCAAATTTTCGTTCAATTTTTATCACATAATCGTCTATGAAATAACGAACAGCTGTTCGGATCAAGATTATTTTTTTCTAGCTGTCACTGATATGACTACAAATGTTGTTTACAAATACCGCAACCATTTCGAATCACGTTTTGAAAGCAAATTACAACCCGCAAATTATTTTATTTCAGCAAATGAAAGTGAGATTAAAAACGTTTTTCTTACATAACGGATTTAATTAATCGCAAGTGCGATAATATAGAGTAATAGTGTAACCGTAAATGAAATGAAATAACTAGGCATCATCCAGATCGGAACCATAAATTCTTTGAGTACCTATAAAATGTTTCTTGAGTTTTGATAACCAGAAAGACCTTGAATCAGTGTTTTATAGGGCTGGGACACTGAAATGATCGTCGCCAATAGCTTACAAAAAAGGTTTCCACTCATTGACGGCACTTCAATGGCGGTTGTGTAAAGTGTAAAGTAAAAAATCACAACTGCAGTGTGTGATTGTAACCGAGGTTTAACAGAGGAAGTGCTAAACTCGTTTTTCCAATGTGTCACTTTCTGTTTCTACTCACAGTGTGATGCAATCGCTGGACCATACAGCCAATAGGCCCATAGCTCATATCTTGGGTACGTAAGCCTACCCAATTTATGCACTATAAATTTATTTACTTAATTTATATAATTTATTTACTTAATTTATTTAATTTATTTATTCATAACAACCTTTTCGACGACGATCCTTGATACCGGTACTTTTCCATAGAATAAATGGCCTACATACTTAAGAAATATAATTACAAATGACCAAAACCCCAACATTGTGTGATTTTCGTCACATTTCCTTCTAATGTTAATAGATATACTAATCATTGTTTAGAGAATGCGTAATCTATTAAATAACAAAAAGTTGTTTGGATAAGGTTGTTTTTTTTTTCAAACTGACACCGATAAGTTTACGTTATAACTTTTTACGAGAAAATCCAAAACCAAGAGATCAATAACCTCGGGACTAGATATTAATGAATTTAATTGGTCGGATGTACTATAGTTCTTAACTGTAAACGTAAGCTTTTGGTAGGTACTGGTTATTTTCCTTAGAACCGTTGGTAGCTGCCAGAATCATTTTTACGTAGGTACCAACACATCTCTGTAGTTTACAAATTAGTTATCGTTGGTGTTGCACCTTATTTATTAGAGCCGTCCGTATTCAATTTCAATTCAAAAAATCTTAGCTTACCCGGTATGCTAAGAAAATGATAACCCATTTGAGTAAAACATTTGTTGGGCAAACCATCATGAATTGTTTACGCCTTTACATTGTTTATGTATCAATAGTTCGTGGCCTTTTAGCGAATTTCCCATATAGGGAATAAGCTATTACCGTAGTACTCATGGTAAGACCTGGACCCGAGACCGATCTAATTTTTCATTTTGAGGTCCCTAGAGGCCAAAAACACCATCCGTTCAAATTCATATATATATATATATATATATATATATATATATATATATATATATGTGTGTGTGTGTGTGTGTGTGTCCGTTAGCGCGATAACTCGGGCAAAAATGATCCGATTTTGGTGAAATTTGGTACAAACGTGTAAACCTACGTTTATTCGAACGAGTTCGCGATCCAGCATAATCGGACCATGGGAACGGGGTTTTATGGGGTAAAAATGGGTTTTTCCCATTTTTTAACCTAAAAACCAAAAATTTTGCGATTTCTTTCTAAAACGTTTTGTAGAGCTTAAAAAAATAAATAATTTAGTATATTGAAGCGCTGTTGTATGCCTAACGGTCACGGAGAAAATTCAAAAATAGTGTAATTAAAAATTCCCATGTTATTCTTATGGAGAAAATGAAAATTGTTGTAGTTTACTTGTTTATGGGTATAAATTGATAAAATTTGGCAAATTTAATTATTTCATCCTATACTATTGATGTATGGTCAAAAAACACTTTTTACCTTCCCCGTAGCAGCAAACCTAAGCACTTGTTAAATCTAATGTTATTTAAATAGGGAATAATATGTCTAATTTATGGAAATATTTTAGTAAAAATGTAATCAGACAAGTTGAAATTCGCTTAGTCTGCAGGTTTGCTGCGGCGGGGGTATTTTGGATTGTTGTGTGTATGTCTGTTGGTAATGCATTAATGTCCTTATTTCTTAGTGTTTCACGGAATGGACAAGAGCACCTTTGATACTGAAAATGTCAACTGGAATACAGTGTTAAATAGTGAGGTTGAGGTAGTACTTTAAATACGTTTAAGTTAACCATTGTGGAAAGTAACTTTCAATTATAGGCCTACTTTAGGGCTACGCTTCATGGATCTATAAAACATTTTTTAGTTTAATCATTGGACATATGGACCAACACGATCCGGGTGACATTTAATTGCGAAGCATTTATTTTGGCTTGAACTGTCAGATACTGTATTTGCGAAGGTTTATGGTGTTATAGTTGTGCTGGTGGACGTTGAGCCACGCCCCCCGCCCCCGCCCCCGCACCTGCACCCAGGCCAACGACTTGGAAGCGTGATCCATGTCCAGGCCCGAGAAGCGGCTCACAAACTACCAAAAAACAAGAGAGCCGTAGATGAAGGTTCAAGAACAACAGGACGGGTGTCTATGTCAGACGAATCTCATAGTCTACTGTAACAGGTATGTGACTCCAAGCTTTGGCGTCAGCACATCTGAGAAACGAGAACACAGGTTCTGATATCTTCAGCCTCACAAGGAGTCAGATGCCCTAACGGATCAATTTTTGGCTTCCTGGGTATCTTAGGCTCAACCACCGCAGTGCCAACACCAATTTCGTCAGCAAAAGAAATTAATACCCGTCTCGCAAATTGGAAAAAACACTGACCTCTGCCTAAATCCAAAATTAGGCCAGTGTGATTGATAAAATCCGCTCCCAAAATGACAGGAAAATGAATTAAGGTCCTTTGCCACCCAAAAACTCCAAACCCAAGAAAAATGCTCAATTTTGAACTTGAAACGGGCTTCGTACATGATAGGAAGAGGTGAATTTGACGCGGTCCAGCAGATAGGGGTTTTTTGATCAACTTGCTTGATTAGCCCAGAAGATTTTAGTTATTCTCCTGGCTTGAATGAAATAACTGGCACACTTATATAAATTACTCTGTATGTTGACTCTATGTAGAATATAAAATACAGTACTGTAATAAAGCCTTAAAAGGGAAGCCGCCAGGTCTGCTGCCTGGCTCGTAGACTGCGAAATATGGTGGAATTAGATGTTTCTGATGAAGGTCCACAAGTGAAAGAGAATCACACGTTATCAAATCCATACGCTAAGCCGATTTTTGTAAACAGAACTCCTCCCTCATTTTTGGACTGATTTTGATGATTAAAGTGTCAAAAAAGTGGCCCTAATCTGTGGCTTTGCAAAGTGTTTTTAATTTTTTGAAATCTTTATTAGTTTGGGCAGGATCTTCCATCAAAGTTGGGGTTTCTCCTTTGATGGAGAAACCCCAACTTCCCTCCTATAAAATTAACATGGGGGAATCTAAATATTTAATTGGAAACTTTGTCTCCACTAATTTCAGAGAACGACTGGGCATAGAAACTTGGTGTAGAGGTGTCCAAAGAAAGGTCTCGGTCTGTTGATGAGCTATCAAAAGAAAAACGAAGTAAATTCCCTCGGGGCTCTGCCCCAAAAGCCAGTCTTAAGTTCCCTTCCCATATTTGTTTATGTTTATTTGTTTCCCTTCCCATATGCGAAACTATAGTAGTCATAACGCGTTGATATATTATAATAACAACTGTTGTTATTATATCTATGTCATAATGTCACTGCGAAGCTTTGCGAGTGGTGAACTAGTGCTCTCGCTCTCCCTCCAACATTACTATTTATCTAACTATGTTATTTCATTTCAACAGCCTTCTTCTTCTTCTTCTTCTTCTTCTTCTTCTTCTTCTTCCCTTTTTTTAATGTTTGGTTTCTAGTCTCGTCTCCGTCTCCGTCTCCGTCTGTCTGTACTCTGTTCTGTGGGTGGGCGTGGCGTAGCTGTGCGCTGTGCTGTTGCTGTGTTGTGGGTGGTTTGGTTCTGTGGTTTGATAAGAAAATTGCTCAATGATTCACAGAGTTATCTCTATGGTCTTAAAGGATGGAATAATCAACTAGTTACTGACTTAGCACAACAGGTTAGTGAAATAACTAACTTATTGACAAAAGAATTAGCCTAAATACTTAAAACTAATCCTAAGCTCGTGTAACCTACAAACCACGAATAACTTACTAGAAAAAATTATTTTTTATTTATTTATTTTTTTAGTAATCGTGCTACAAACTAGGCCGGTTAGCCTACCTAAGTTAATAAACATGTCATCTTAGTCGTAGTTCATCTAATAGGGTTTGTACAACAGAGTAGCCCATTATACAGGAGATAGGCCCGGGCTTATCTTACACTTCCAATAAAGGCAGCTTCAACCTAGCCTACTTTACTATGCTTGAGTTCCATAGGCTACAGTAAAATCTTTTATTAACCTTATATTAGGCTTAGGCATGTATGTTCAGGGTGTGTACTGAGAAAAGCGTCCAAGGACTAAATCCATCCAAAGTGTAGGCTAACTCCTGTAACAGAATTAGATGGTAGGCATAACTTAACACATGTTGCCATAGGCTATCCTAGGCCTATGTTTACAGCGCACAGTTAGTTACGGTATGGTCGTTGCGTCTCTTGCTGTTACCATAACAATATTTAGGCCTAACATAGCACAGTCTGTAACATTATAAGTAGGCCTAAGTTAATCTCAGGCTAACTTAACTGTTTTAGAGTGTTTAGTTAGGGCTATCATATAAGATACTGGTAATCCGCTAATTGGAAAATTATGCATAATAAGGTGACCATGGAAACCTAGGCCTATAAGTTAGTAATTTTATCCCTAGGCTATCATGAGAAACTAACTTAAGTTACAGATTGTTAAGTTACCTGAAAACAATGGTACAACAATTTCTCTGCTTTTAGAAAAACTACTTATAGACTTAACTTATAAATATTATGGAAAGTAAATGAGAAACGTTTTATAACACTTAAAACATAACTTATATTTACGCTTACTGTCACTCACAAGACGGTAGGGGCCTAAGTATACAAAAAAGATGGTAAGTGGCTTGATCGATTTTGATTGTGGGACAAACTCCAATCATCATCAGACCCAATACTTGGGTGAATCTTTTATTTACTTTCCGTAAATTTAATAACACGTACAATGCTGATCAAAAAGTTATTTATAGGGTAGGCCTATATATGCATACTTGAAATTGAGTTTTTTAACTGCAATGACACCACCACTACCACTCTTGGCTTTTTTAGTGGCGACACTGTCATTAGTGCTGTTACAGCTGTTTTGTTTGTTAGCAGCTAAGTTAAGTAATTGTTAAGTACACTAGGTATATCATTCGTGTAGCCTATTGCTTGGTTACTGGGCTATGGAAAAATTGACTACCTATTTTAAATATAGGCCTAGACCTACGGAAGTAAATTTTTAATTTATGTTTAGGTGCCAGTACACAAGTTATGACTTAGCCTATATGTCTTATTTTCAATCTTTTAATACACTTTTGTTTATATTACGAAATGTGTCTGACCAAGATTTAAGTTTCTTAATGACTCTTAATTTTAATCAAATATTTTATAAGTTATAGGACTGCTTAGGCTAAATTAACGTACTTTACCTGTCAAAGTAGGCTTTCTAATGTGATATTTACTTTAAAATTACATATACAATTCACCCATAGGCCTAGTTGTGAAGTAGGCTAGGGTCTATTAACTTAGGTTTTAGTGTGAAAATAGCGCAAATTAATGTTTCTAAATACAACATTAAAAAAATGGAAATTAAGTTACCGGTACCGGTATGTTTATTGTGGTTTGAATAATTTTTATGACAGCTGAAAAATCTTTGCACCATTGTTTTCAGGTAGGTACAAATCTAGGTTTTGGTGGTATATAAATTTACTTAGCCTACTATAAGTTTCTATAGTCTTCGGTGCCGCTAATTACAAATATTAAGGCTATTCCTTTTAAGCTAAGTTAAATGGTAAGTTTATAGATTACCTTGCTTCATCGATGAAAATAGTGCCGTAGGCTATTCCTTTTATTCTATTGTAACCAACCAAGATTTTAATTCCCTGGTTGGAATGGGATCCCGGCCTAGTTGCTGGAATCCTAAAATGACTGATTTCAGTGGGTCAAATTCATTATCAAGCAACATTTTTACTGTATATTCCTAATTTTGTAGATAGCGATGGCATCTTCACAAAAACTGGGAATAGAGATCTATGTAGATGATTACCACTCAGTTACTGTGTTCACTGCAACTAAAGTTGAGGAGGACGAAGGATGGAAATCAGGTTTTAGAGCCAAGCAGTTTGATGAACTCTGCCGTAGCCATTTCAGAGCACAACATTTCGGCCCTGATCCAGAGACTGGTCAGGTATGTGTCACTCTATCTTGTAACTTACTAGGGCTAAGGTAAATGTTAATTAATTGGGATCAACCGCAGGAGTTTTTATTTGTAATGTGTGTTTTTTCTTTACTATTTACATAACCTTACATTAAAGAAAAAAACACTTTTACTAGGTACTTGTTTCGATCGCCGATTATATAATTTACTAATAGAAAAATAAAATATCGATAACGTATCGTAAAAAATCATCGATAATGAATGTTCTATTTAACCAAATAATACTGTTGTTTAACCCAGACAAAAACTCCGCTTAGCGAGAATCTGTGTTTCAAATTTTAAGCGACCGATGAAGGGTTAAAAACTTGCTGTAATATAGGCTTGAGAACCGAGAAAAGAAATCATCGTTTAGAGTGTTTAATTTTGGATTTCGAAATACTGTTGGTTTGAAATTTAGATATTTTTACGTTAAGTTATGTGGGCCTACCCATTTTTCACTCGTTGCTCAAACATGTGTAGGCAACTAAACATTAAACAACATGTAACAATTAAAGAATTAAAGTTATGTAGTCAACATGCGTGATTTGGCTTCTATTGTTTTAACATTTTGCTTAACTCAACTAGCCTATCTCAGTTAATAGTTGAAGAAGAAGTTTGTTGTTTTTGTTCATTTTTGATAATGAGAATCAACAAATGATATCTGCAGTAGAAGTAGAACCTTGCTAATTCGAATTTCAGAGGAGAAACCATTTATTTTGAATTATGAGAAGTTTTAAAATAGAGAGTTTGATTTATAGAGGTCAGAATAAATAAAATTTGAATTATGGAGGTCCCAGATTTAAGTTTAGAGAGATTGAGAGAACGGAGACTAATGAACACGTCGTGGAAACATCATTAAGAAGATCAGTTCATGTTTCATTTACAGCTTAAAAAACGATAACGCAACTCAAATCGTAGAGGTTGGCTTCGATTATAGATTGTAGAGGCAACAGTTCGAATTACCGGTACAGCAACAAAATTCGAATTGTTGAGGCTCAAGTAATGTGCAAATTTGAATTGTAGAGGCTGCATTAAGCGTAAAAATCACTTTGAATTATCGCTTTATTATTTTTTTAATTTTAGAGGTTTTCTGAGAGGAGCAGACAAACATTTCTAATTAGGCCTATAGAGGTTTTCGAACTACCGAGGTTCGAATTAGCGAGGTTCTAACGTATTGGGATCAGAACTATTGTACTCATTTATTGAAACTGGTTAGCAAAAAATTTTGGCCATACATACTTAGAAAAACAAAAATTTCTGGTAGACCTAATTGTAATTGTAAATAATTTCCTAGGTTGTCGGTGTGTTTTTACCGAAGCACTGTCAGGGTTTTTGGTTGAGAGGGCAAGTGGTACAGATAATAACAAATACAGACAACAGCTTTGAATACAAAGTGCAGCTGAATGATGATGATGTTGTGTTGGTAAAACGCCCGCACCTCATAACATTCAACGAGGCTCAGTTGGCGCCGATGGACGCTCTGAAGCCACCACCATTGAAGCCATGGAAACCATCGACCAAATTCATAGGACTGTATGGAGTGTTGCCTGTCAGTCCTTTGTAAGTAATATTTTTCCTTTCTCTCCCCATACATAGAATAGAGAAAGAAGTAGTTATGTGTCAAAACCGAATCTTAAATCTCTTGCATTTGGGTTTTAAGATTCAAAATTTCTGGTTTTGGCCATCACTAGAAAGGATTTTTTTCTCAAAACGTTTGCCTTGAAATAAAAAAAGTGGTTTTCGAAGTGGTGATTGTGTGTGTGTGTGGATGTGTACAGAGCCACAGACCACACCTATAGTTTGATTTTGATGAAAATTGGTAGGTATGTGGTTAAATCAAATGTATCTCTTGCATATTTTTGAAATTGCTATTTTCAATGGTGCCATTTCTATAAAAGACCACGATAAAATTATAGAATAATAATTTTTTTAAAGACGGCCCTAACGATTTTGATTAACATTTTGTGTGTTATAGCCCTTTTGATTCTGAACAAAATGGTAAACCTTTATAACTGTAAAAATAACGTTAAATTTAAGTGAAACTTTTGTGATTTTAACTATAAAATACCATACTTTCTCCCACCTGTTGCCCGTGATGAAAGTTGTTGGCAAACTAAAATTAGAAAGGTTTGATACTTGACTCACCTTTAAACCTATTGTTACTCATCCTACACTCATCTCCATTCATACTTGGCTTACAATACCTACTTTCGTTTGGTCGCCATTTCAAAGTATTTAAGTATGTTATGTTTGATTTTGCATAGGTATTGATTGATTTTCCATAGGCCCTATTGATTGATTTTCGCTTCTTAGTGAATTTCCCTATAGGGAAGTAGCTATTACCATAGGTAGCACAGTAAAACCTAGGCCCTGGACCAATTTACTTTTTCATTTTGATGTCCCCAGAGGCTAAAGAGACAATTCATTTGAATCAAATTTTATGTTTTTGGAGTCAAAAGTGACAAAACTCCATTTTTTCCCCATAAAACCCCCTATACAACCCTATGGTCTGATCATACTGGTTCACAAACTCATTCAAGTTTATCCTGCCTTACATCTTGAAGCCAAATTCCATTGAAACCGGACATAAATTACTCAAGTTATTGCATTCACGGATGTACATATGTATGTATTTATAGCTAAAAATATGAACGCTAAATATGAAATTTTAACGTATTATCATTGTAATAATGGTGTTTCCGTATGAAATAAATAAATAAACGAATAGTATTTTTGGCAATTAGGGACATTAAAATGAAAAGTATATCAGTCCCGGCTCTAGGTACAGTATTACCGTGCCACCTACGGTAAAAGCAACTTCCCTATAGGGAAATTTGCCAACAAGAGCACAAACATACATCTAGAGCTAAAACTTTATGCAGAGTGGTAGCCTATTTACAAGTGTTGCAAATAAATGTAATAGTCACTGCTCTCTCTCTCTATCCAATTGTTTGTGGCTTTGTCAAGGGTGCTCTTTTCAGTGAAATCTATGTCTGTCAAAAAACAAAGCCATCAACACAAATATCGTATACGGCCATATTATTACTTCAAACATAGTGTTCAAAGAGGTCCTGTAAACATGTACAAACGTAAAAGCTTAACATAATATTTTGAAAGTTAGTTATCTAAAAATTTCACCCACTTCTATTCCTGAAGTAAGAACCCATACTTAAATCAACGATGCATCTACTACAAAGTAGCCTACTGTGTTGTGTACTTCATAAATGGTATTTCAGAAGGTTCCAGTGTGAATGCTTCGCATGGGTCGGCTAGTCTATCATTATTATTTATACCTCAATAAATCTACTGACATTATCTTTTTCACTAAACTATGTATTTTTGTAGAATCTTGTAGGTTGGTCATACATTATAATCTTATGTTACATTGCCTTATGTGTACATTTTTATTTTTAGGAATCAAAAGTGTAAGAATTTTATCACGGGCGTATTTCATAAAGGATATTTATTCTTCAAACAGAAGGCAAAAATTGGAAACATGTGGTTCGGAGATATATCTATCAAGCCATTTAATGTTGGTCCAAGGCTTAGTCTAACGGAACAGCTGTTATCAAATGGATTGGTCAAGCAGGTTGAATGTTTTGAGACAGGTAAGCTTAAGAGATAGATTATTAGTTAAGAATAATGCTTGAAATAATATCAGATCTAGTCTTTGTAGTACTTTTGGCAATTTATTACCTGGTTCCCAGAGAAAAATTTGGGGGTGGACCTTCCAAGGGGATCTGGGGGGCCTCCCCCAGAAAATTTTAGACCTTGAAAACCATTTTAAGGGGTTACACTTAAATGTTGTTAATTCAGAGTGTGTAGTAGTCGGGAAAAAGGGGAAAGTCGGAAATTAGTATTGAATTTCAAAATGTTCTTTAAAAGTCAGAATTTAGTCTTTATTACAGTCGGGAATTTTATTGACCAAGTAAAATCTAATCAAATTTCCATTAATTGATGCCTAAAACATATTTTAAGTAGGGGTGTGTCAATTGAACCCCCTATTCAATGTGTTTGTTGAATGTTCAGGGTTGGTACGGTCAGGGAAAACCTGGAAATGTCAGGGAATTTTGTTGGTCTAGAAAAGTCAGGGAAAAGTCAGGGAATTTTGGAAAAAATCTAGAATTTCTCTTGAAAGACTACATTTTTTACAGATATGTTACATTTTTCATCTACGTCTCAATACGTGGTCAAAAACATCGAAGTTTGACGAAAACATCGATATAACAAAAACATCGGCAAACCTACCATCGATATAAAAAACATCGAACATCGACAGACATTCTATCATCACCCTCTGATCACTGGCTTTAATTGAACGCACCGAGCTCCCAGTGTTTCTACACGACCAAAAGAATATAATTCCGGTCACTGGGTTAAGAAATCCCGTTTAATCCCTTAAGATTTTTTATGTTAAATTCAGAGTGTTAAATTAGACATATCGTGTTTAAACAGTTGTTTAAACATTGCTATTATATTTTGTTAAGGTAATTTTTTCGATTGGGGTTAGTTTTTCACTAAAATAAAGCATAGTAAATAAAAACGGACGTCATAGCCAAAACTCCTGTTTTATCCCACAACCCCTTCAAATCCCGCTCATGCTCTAAAAATCCTGTTTTCGGGATAATTATCCCTCGTATGGAAACACGGCTAGTACTGCGATGCGTGGAAGGATAGGCCTACATTCATCGTTTCAATTTCAATAAGATACTGAATACAATTACTCATTGAATTTATACCAATACTGATTCAACCTTTAATAAACTAAAAAAAACTGCACTTGTAGGAGTTTATAAAAAAAATTGTATTCTGTTAGTTGAAACATTTAATAGTTTAGTTTGGTACTACTTTTTGTCTCCGGTACAAGCATGGTAGTTATTTTTCCAATATCACATGTTTCTTCCGATATAAGCCGATGATATTGCAAGCTAAATATCGATATTTATCAGTATCAGAAGCACTGTATCGTCTATGTGCTAGTGTCAAGTCAAGGGCAAGTAGAACATAAAGTGTGAGGTTAAGTTACTCTTAATTTTCCAGATTCCAGATGTTTAATTCTTTCCTTATTGGTTTTATGAGTAAACTATTTAGGCCTACATTTTTTCTAATAATTCTTGATTCTGACTATTCGATATCGTCTTACGGTATAACTTGGAAAAATTATAATATCAGTCTGGAAAACCTGGAAAAGTCAGGGAATTTCATTTTCCATAATCAGTACCAACCCTGATGTTTCCTATTCATTCATTTTATAACTTGTACTAAATGAATGAAGAGAATTTGAATTGAATTCTCAATACCGATTCTGAATGAAGAGAGTCTGAATTGGATTCTCAATACCGATTTTTGATACCACCATAACTTGAACCGTGTACCGGTATCGGGAATTGGTCGTCATAAGTTGGTACTGACACCTGACGCGTCTGAGGTACACACATCCACGGGAGATGTTCTTGATTCTGCCGTGATAAAAGACGACGGGGATATTCAGGATTTTCCGTGATTGCAGGGGATGATGTCTATGCTGGTACTATTCGCTCAGCGCTCGACTGCCTGTCCCCTGTCCCACGCCGTATTTGTAGGGGCGTGACTCTAGCGCAGTGCATGGCTGCTCGGTAAACTAATGACCCCACACGGGCCATTTAAAATCGTATGAACGCTAGTTTTCTGATCACGTAATATTTTTACCATTACAAATGTATAAATGCATAGATTATGCTTTTCTTTTATATAACCATAGACAAAAAGAATGAAATATAGACCGTCAGCCATGCTGCGGTTGCCATGGTTACCATAGGTTCCGGCGCACACCGCTGTAGTTTACGTAGCGCGTACGCCGTAACTACCGTGGTGCTCCAAGCAGTGTGCGCCAGAACCTATGGTAACCGCAGCACAGCTGACGGTCTATATTTAATTCTTTTTGTCTATGATATAACACAACAATTGGCAATATTTTTGTAACTTACTAATTAAACTTTTTTTTTATTTCAGAGGCTCAACGATTTTATTCAGATTTATTTTTAGCACTCGAAAGGCAAAAGAAAGCTAAAAAAGAAGAGGAGCGTGAAACAGAAGAGAAAGGGGCGTATGCAACAAACAGGTTGACAGAGGTAAATTATCGATTCAATTTTATTTATTTATTTTTGACAAAAACCGTTATACAATAAAAAATACCATACATACAAAAATGCAAGGCTATACAATAATGGTAAAAGTAGCCTACATCCTCACACAAAAATCAACAAGCGTTTGAAACATCTATCTATCTATATATTAACCCTCCGAGTGTCCATAGTTTAGGCCTTAATGTCCGCCTATTTTTGGCGCATTTGCAAGGTTTTATTAAAACGGATCTGAGAAGCTTAAAACAATGTTAATTCTACTGTTCTATATACCATTTTGTTTGGAAAATCATGGGCTTCAATATTATACATAAAACATAAGGAACATTTGTTTCAAAAAAATTTTGTAGGTAAAAAAAAAATATTTTTGAAAATTTTCAAAAAAAAAAATAAGTTCGCGCTCAATGAAATTGTATAAATTATAGGCCTATAAATATTTGAAAATAGCCACTTTGTTCAAAATTTTATAAGGATTACAAATATATAATAATATAAGGAAGTAGATTTACAAATAAATAAGTTATGGGCAAAAAACAGATTTCAGTACATAGCGTTTAGCTAAGAATGCATAGCCTAACCATAGCTAGGAATCTGGCTGATAATTTACATCAATATCACTACCTACTTCTTCAGGATCATCAACCAGCCCTTCAAAATCACTTAAATCTTCTTATAATGCACCACGTACATCACTAATTTTGATTTTTAACACTAAAACAATGATAAACGTAATAAAACACATCAGTCATCGGTCCGAGGGTAACCTAGCTGTTTACAAATACGCACGTCAGCTGTCTGCTACAATTACGATCGGCTCGGAGACCATAAAGCGCTTAGAGACAGACCTGGAGAAAGCTTAGAATCTAACGAAAATAACGATACCTAACTCGATCCAGTTCAATCAGATTCAGTCAGTCATAGAGCCTTTGCCGTAAACGATGTTCGTGCGTCGAAAAATCGACGCGTGACACTACACAAAGTGTGTCGTGCATCGATTTTTCGACGAGTGACGCTCGGAGGGTTAATAGGCAAGCATGTTTCTTTAAAACCTTTTTTCTCAGCTCGTGTGCATCGCAGGGAAAATCTACGCATACTGTTGGAAAGACATTTTCCTGTAGATGTGTAGAATCTCTTTTTATAAATTAAAATAGGCTCAAAAATAAGCACAAAAAATGAATTTGAAAACTTAAAAAAAAATAACATGGGAGTTATGGGTTGCCATGTTGGTGACGAAATAACAACAAAATATAAACAGAAAATCAAAACAAATTCCTATCACATGTTTTATTTACAGTGTGGGGTTTACACTGTACATTACAATATAGTGTAAGAAACGGCCATGTGGCCCTAACTTTGTCTGAATAAATATATAATTTTTCATTTCATATAATTTTAATTTTTTCATTTAATTTCATTTACATATTTTTGGTCGAGTTTTCGACCGCTGGACGACCTCTAGTAATAATTAAGAAGTAATAATAAATAGAGTAGCCTAATAAAGTTGTATTACACAGAATAGTTTTCTTATGGTCATTTTTATTTGAAAGAAATTCAATTTTCATAAACATAAACAATAATAATTAATTTATACACAACATCTATTATGTCACATGCCCTTTTTTAAGGAACAAAGTCTTTGTATTTTGTTGGAGGCTTGGAAGTTGTCGTAAGCCTTTTCTGCTGTACTTGCACATTTTCAGGTTCTTTTTTTCTTGTCTTGAAAATCATGTCCGTATGCTGGCCTGAGATGTACTCTGTTCCTCCTATCGGCCCCACCTTCGGTTTCAACAATATATGAGTTTGGCATTTCATTTTTCTTCAAAATTCTTCCTTGAACCATTCTCTTTTTCCATCCTGTACATAAACAGCTTGATTGTCTTTTAAATTCCTTGAGACTGCAAGAATTCTTATAGTAATTCTTCTGTTCTACCTGTTTTTTTGATAAAGTAGTAGGGAAAAGGGTTTTGAGAACTTATTTTCGTACTGGAATGGCAGTTTTCAATAGTCTTCCCATCAACACCTGAGCAGGAGCTTTCAGGTGATATTTAGTAGTGTTATAATCTTTCACGGCTACATTCAAATCTCCTTTGGAATTCATAGTTTTTATAAGCATAGATTTGAGAGTTTGGATGGCTCTTTCTACCATGCCGTTTGATTTGGGGGAGTATGGAGAAGATGTTTCATGTTTTATTTGGTAATCCTTCACAAAAGCAGAAAACTTAAGGCTCAAAGGGAGGGCCTTAAGAAGGGCCTTGACTTTTATCTCTTGACAACTTGAGTCCAAAGCATCTAGCTTTTGTTAAAAACTCTTTCAATCGTTTGTCATGTTCTTTAGTATTCCCGAATATAAGAGTTTCATCTATACAGTAGACTCCCTCTTATCCCCGGACTCCTCGGGACCGAGGCCAGCCGAGATTACAGTTTTTCCGGTTAAACCGATGTCCCCAAAACTCGATAAATCGGACCATTTAAATGACTTTGTATACAGTATTTGACTCAAATTTAGGAGAGCATTGTATTTAGACACGTGATCACTGGTCTCAAATCTTTACGACGAGAACATTCGTTTCAGTACCGCCCACTTCCTGCTGATCTTGTCCGGTTAAACCAATGTGCTGATAACAATTTTCCTGTTAAAAAGATGTCATTTACGCTGATTGTAGTCCGGTTAAAAGGTGTCCAGATAAGAGGGAGTCTACTGTAAAAAAAATTGCTCCCTCTAAACTAGATATTACAGAATCCATCGCTTTTTATACACTTCTGGAGCCCTATTCAATCCATATGGAAGTCTGCAGTAATGAAATCGGCCGAAAGGGGTAGTTATTGTACATAATCGTGAACTTTCCCCCGTCAGAGGTATTTGTAAGAATGCCGATGACGCATCAAGCACATTGAAGTATTTTACTCCTTCCGGTTTGGAGAAAATCTCTGGCATTTTATAATGCTTTCTTTTTTTTTGCAAAGAAAACGTAACATTATTTGCTACTTCATTTATGTGAATAGTACAAGAATAGGGCAAGCCACCATTCACAACGTAAATTTGTTCTAGGGAACTGGTTTTACTACCAGAAACTCTACAGTTTAGTAAGCTAAGCATGTGCCTAAAACATTTATATCATGTCCACTGTAAGACTATAAACTGGCGTTTACCAGTAGGATTAATGTTTGAATCAGATGAGATTTTCTGATGTTGTAAGGAATACCATTTACATCAGCTCCAGTGTCAGGTTTGAAAGAGATTTCTATTCCATTTACAATAAGCTTTTGAGTCTAAGAATTCACAGAATCTACAATAACAATTGTTTCTATATACTACTGTTCTACTTTTTTCTGATAAAAAAAAAGAAAGAACTAAAAAAAGAAGTCATTGAAACTAAATGTAATTATTATCATAATAGCTTATTGGAAAAATCACAAAATGTTAGTAAAACGACATGGGATATTGTAAATAGGGAAGTTGGAGCAAATCATAAACCAAGCCATGGTGAAAGTTTAAGTTTACCATATATTAAAGCCAATAACTGCACGGACGTTGAAGAAGTCTGTCATCTCTTTAATGATTACTATACAATGATGGTTGAAAATGACATATTGCCCAAACTAATATCTTCTACTGGTTCGAAAAATATTATTTCACCCTCCCAAAAATTGATATCAAAATTCAGTCTTATCTCTGGAATTTTCCCCGAAAAATTAAAAAAATCAAAAATTAAACCTTGTTATAAAAATGGTAACCCAGAAGAAGTGTGTAATTACAGACCTATCTCATTGTTATGCTCATTTTCAAAAATTTTTGAGCGAGTTGTGCATATACAACTTTCAAAATACTTAGAGGAAAATAATTTATTAGATAAGGAACAATATGGTTTTAGAGCAGGAAGGTCCGTGATTGACGCAGGAGTCGATTTCTGTGAATCTATAATTAATTCAATTGATTCAAAGGAAAAAGTAGTGGGAATATTCTTAGACTTAACAAAAGCCTTTGATAGTGTCTCACATGATTTACTTCTTGAAAAACTTAAATATAACGGTGTAAAAGGGAGAGCTTGGCGTTGGTTTGAATCTTATCTTACAGCAGCAGTATGTCACAATTGATCACGTAAATAGCCATAATCAATTGATTACTTACACTTCCTCAACGAAAATTGTTAAGTATGGTGTCCCTCAAGGATCAATATTGGGGCCCTTATTATTCTTAATTTACTTAACTGACTTCCCCTCATTGATAGAATCTCCCAATCGTGTTTGTTTATTTGCTGATGACATCAATATAAAAATATCCTGAAATTCAAATGCTGATGTGGAAGTCTCTTCTTTTGTTGAGCATACCAAATGTAACCAATATTTAAATGAAATCAATTTATTACCGAATACAATAAAAACTAATTATATAAACTTTTCTTCAACGAGCAAAAATTTACCTGAATTTAATATTTTTATGGATACAATTTTACTAAATGAAGTTAAAACAATAAAATTTCTTGGATTGCATATAGATGACTAGCTGTAACCCGCGGGCTTTGCCCCGTTTAACTTCTTAATTTTCAAGATTATCTCGTTCGCATGGCTCAATCACGTCCTGGTTGAAGTTTGTTCACTACGCTCACTCACCTTTAGGTTGGAGCTCGTTCGCTACGCTCACTCACCTTTAGGTTGGAGCTCGTTCGCTGCGCTCACTTGCCTTCAGGTTAGCTCGTTCGCTACGCTAACTCGCCTCCAGGTTGAAGTTCGTTCGCTACGCTCACTCACCTTTTGGTTGCAAATTAGCTGTTGTCATAAATGTAAAAGAAATAATAGTGCTGCACCCTGTTGGTAATCCTTGTAACTTTAATGCTATTCTACATCATAGAACAGAACCAACTTGTTTAGTTGAAACAGCTGTTAAGATTCAATAATTCCATTTCTCATAAGGTTAACATGGGAAACTCCAGAGCCACTGGGGCGGAGCCCGAAAGGATTTTTGAAATAAGAATATGCCTATATGTTAATCGGGAGTGTGAGCTATCATCATGCCAAATTTCAGCCCAATCCGACCAGTATTTTTCGCGTTCACTTGTCACAAACATACATCCATACATCCATACATCCAAACTTTCTCATTTATAATATTAGTAGGATAAATTCAACTGGGACAGTCATGTTGAAAACGTTTGTAATAAAGTCAACTCAGGCATACATGCATTAAGACAGATGTCAAAATTTAGTAGTTTAAAAACCTTAAAAATAGTATATCATTCCTTAATTCAATCACATATTTCTTTTAGGTTGTGTCTTTATGGGGGCACATCAAATTTTAACCTAAATAGCATTCTGGAACTTCAAAAAAAAGCAATTCGCATTATGTTAAAACTGAAGTCAAAAACATCCGCAAAAGAGCAGTTTAAAGAAATAGGAATTATGACTGTTTTTAGCTTATACATTTATCAAATAGCCCTTTATATTAAATCAAACCATGAAAGATTGCCAAAATTGAACTCTTTTCATACATATTCAACCAGAAAATGTAATGAATTGGCGTTCAACAGACATAATTTATCGGTTTATGAAAAAATTCCATCTTATAGTGGTGTTAAATATTTCAATAGCTTACCTGACAATATAAAAAATATAAGTAATTTTAATTCATTTAAAAAACGTTTGAAATTATTTCTCACCAACAGACCCTTGTATAAATTAGAAGATTTTTTCCAACTTCCTGAAATTTGATTTTTTATAATAACAATATTCTTTGTAAGTAGTCTTAAGTTTAATATTGTGTTTTTTTAACTGACTCCATTCTGTACAAAATGTACAATATGAATAAAGTTTTTTTGATTGATTGATTGATTGATTGACTAATTGAATTTTCTTCAGAAGCTTTACAAAATTCTTCATATTCTACAGAATTTAACTTTGCTTTTTTGCAAGCTTTTGAAAAGTGGTTTAATTTGATGATTTTATGTGCCCGTGGCAAGAGTTAAAATATTAAATTTTTTTGATCTAAGTTACCTTAAGCCTTTGTTCTTGCAGGATGAAGTTATAATTCTCCAATATATTTCACCACAGTGTGTGGCACCTTCAGGGTGTCTTGAAGTTCTATTCACACATTTGTGTAAATTCTATTAAAAATGTGTAAATAGAACTTCAAGACTCCCTGAAGATGCCACACACGTAGGTGAAGTATATTGGAGAATTATAACTTCATCCTGCAAGAACAAAGGCTTAAGGTAACTTGGTTTAATTTGTTACAGTTGGTACACCTTTTACCTTTTCATCCAAGCTAGACAGTTTCTATAACTATCTTACACCTAAAACAGGTCTTCTTAATAAATTTAATTTTTAGCAGGCCTGAAATCATTAATCCTTCCTATTCTTATGAATTTCAGGACTAGGATGATCATGATAGTTTTGAATAGAACAACTTTCTCCCATGTTTTTTATTTGATTTGACTCTCTTCTCTAGCCTTACAATAGTGAATACAGTAGTTGTATCAAGCTTTCAATCAGATTCCATTAGCAGCCTTTCTTTATTCATCACATCTTTGGTTCCAATAATAAGCAAATTCCTAATTAAACTGTCTTCTTGTTCGCGGAACTGGCATTTTTCAGGTGAGTTACAAATGTGTCAATTGGCTCCTCTGGTCTTTGTCTCATATTGAATAAGTCATATCTGTTTACAACAGTGTTAACTTTTGGAAAGTAGTCATCAAAACAAAACATTGAACAATATAATCTAAATTATCCCTATCAGTATCTGTCTGTTTGAAGTTATTGAAAATGTCCAAACAATCATTCCCCATTAAGCAAAGATGTAAGGCAACTTTAGTTTTACTGGGCTTTTTAGATTTCTCAGTAGCTTCTTAATACAAAAAGAATTTTTGCTTGAATCTAGCCCATTCATCAAAAGTGTTTTTGTTCAAATCTATAGGTGGTGGGGCTTTCAAATCCATAATGTGTAGTTGTATGATGAAAATAGCTATGGTTTTATATTACCAAATCTTTTGACCGCTGTCACTAGTAATAAAGTTGTATTACATAGAATAGTTTTCTAGCAAAGTAATTTTAATTTTAAAGAAATTCAACTCTCACTCTCATAAACATAAGCAATAATAATTAATTAATATACAACAGCTGTTATACCATAAATAGCTCATGCATAGCAAATAACAAATAAATACAAAACCAAAACAACAGTTTGCAATTACTGAGATAAGAATGGTGGTTTTAAATAAAAGCAAAAGTAACATTCGGGAGTGTTTATTTAATACAGTAGTAAACATAGGGAATAAACTGTACGGTGTATTAGTTGGGATTAAAGAGGTTCTACTGTATAATAAATACAATAAAGTGAACAAAGGTGCAGTTAACATGCAAAAGACATACAACTTATATAAGACCTACAACATAAAGGACACAAAATGCATACAAATAATACTACTAGTAAATAGTGCTACAATAGTAAGTAGCAAGTAGAAGCTAGTGAACAAAAAGAAGCTAGCATTACAAGAAGACATGAAAGAGGATGTACAGGTAACCTGCAAAAGTCATAATATAATACTGATATAAGATAAAAAATGCATAAAAATACAATAACAATATTAATAATGTACGTGGTGGTTAACGTGCAAAGACTGATATAAGACACAAAATGCATACAAAACTTAATAAACAAGACAAAATAATAGTACAACATGAAAAATAACTATTCAACCTAAACTGGCTCAATTTGCATCCAAACTTATTTGAATAGCCTAGTTTAATATTTTTGTCAGTTCTAAACTTAACTGTTTAATTTTTGTGAGCAAGATTTTAAAATGACTAAATAAAAATAGGTATATGTGAATTTTTTTATTAACCAAAACACTATAGTTATGAGAAGCTTTCACACAACTTAAGAAAGAAGGTAGGCCTACCTAAGATTTCACTTTGTTCATAGTAGGCGTACAGTTGGTTAGGTTCAAGAGAGATATTTTATCATAAATTGAAATAGAATTTCAGTTCAGTGTCTTTTTAACATATTCAAAATATTGATTGCAGGAGAAAAAAGAAAACATTTCTTCACAGACTTCGGCAAAGATTTGCAAAGAACAAAAACATTCAGCAAGAGATACAGGTAAAACTCAAAATCTAACAATAAACTTGATGTCAGCATTGATGTTTATTGTTTTATATTTTGTTTTATTGTATTAAACTTGGTCTGTGGCTAGCGCAGCCTAACAAGTCAAAGTACTGTAGGCCTTGGTTTATCCAGCCACGTGACTCCATCAGTTTACAGACCTGCACTAGTGCTTCCTAACTCTATAACTCTCTTGTTTCATCTGATTGTTTACATTTTGCTTTATTCTCTACTAATTTTAGCTTGTAGGCCTAATCTCCAAATAGTTTGTTGGTGTTGGTTTCTTGTGTGACCGATACAGAATATTGCGAATATGAATAATACAGAACCTGTTTAATCTTAATAAAGCAATTAATTAATTAGACAATTGTCTCTAACTGCAGTTTAGGTTGCAGATTTTCTGAGACGAGAAACTGTTGGTTAAGATGATCCTACGTATGGTTTTGAAGTCTAGAACTTAAACTATGTCAACTTTTGTTCATTTTTCAGTTCTTTGTTTTCTTTACCTTTATTTTCTTTAAATTTTGACAAGCTTAACATTTTTATACTTCACCCTCATAGATCATAAAAATATCTGGTCTACAGTTAAATACAAGTGTCTCGTACAAATGTGTTATGAAATTTTAAAATGAGTAATACTTTTATTTTGTTTAGGATATTGTTCAAGTGAAGACTCAGATTGTGACAAGCGGTTCTTTCGGCCAGACGTTCTTTTGGTTCCTGCTGGGTACGAGATCAGTGACAACATATCACACCAGAACAAGAAGTCACAAAAGAATAAGGAAGGGCCAATCTTAATGAACACCCCAACAAATTGGTTCATTATTCATGAGCAAAACAAGATAAAAGAAAAACGCGAAAGACGTTCTCGACCCAAAACAAATCCAAGTCCAAAGAGTGTTATTGCATCAGAAAATCATCCTAAGGAAACTTTAGTTCCAGTGCAACAGCCGATCAGTGATTATCATCCTTACCAGCTCATTTTTAAACAAAAAATTGAAAATTGTTGCGATGTGAATACCCAAGAACCTAAAGACAAGTCGAATGATAGTAAGAAACGAGTAAGAGCTTTGAATTTGAATTATAAAATGAACGGAAAATCTGACGAATCAGATGTTAGTAAAAATGAGCCAAAGACTTTAAACAAAGACATTTCTGATAATATTGTCAACCACAAACAAGAAAAAGTAGAGACTTCCAATAAATCTAAAAATAACGAAACTGAAACAAGTGTTAGTGCAGACGACAGCAAAATTTCTACAGAAAGTATTGGTGCTACCAGTACTCCAATTAGTTCTTTGTCAAAAAAGCAACGAATAAGTCAAAAATGGAAAGCAAACTATTTGGAACCGAACAGCCATAAAAGCTTTGAGTCGGTTAGTGACAGTGCAAACGACAGTATGGTTTCTGCAGGAAGTAAAAGTGTAACAAATACTCCAGATATTTCTTTGCTGTCAAGAAAACAAGGGAGTCAAGAACTGATAGCCAACAAATTGGAAACAACCTTCAGTTCTACTAGTTCCTATCATCCTCCTAGTTCCTATTCATCTGCAAATAATAACTTTGATTCAATAAATAGTGAAAGTGCACACAACAGTCAGGTTTCTGCGGAAAGTAATATTCTAAGAAGTACACCAAACAGTTCTTTGTTGTCCAAAAAACAACGACTTAGTCAAAAACTGAAAGCGAACAATTCGGAAACAACCTTTAGTTCTACTAATTCCTTCAGCAAATCATTTGCAAATAAAGACTTTGATTCAATAAATAGTGAAAGTGCAGACAACAGTCAGATTTCTGCGGAAAGTAATAGCGTAAGAAGTACACCAGATAGTTCTTTGTTGTCCATAAAACAACCACTTATTCAAAAACTGAAAATGAACAATTTGGAAACAACCTTCAGTTCTATGAGTTCCTCATTCACAAATAAAAGTTTTGAGTCAGTAAATGGTGTCAGTAATAGTAATAATTCTATAGATAGTGGAAATAGTTCCACATTGTCGAAGAAACAACGAATAAGTAAAAAACTAAAAACTGCAATAGCCTTTCGAGAAGAAGTGGAAAAAATTATTAAAGAAGAAGAAAGAAAATCACATGAGGATCCATTATGCATTTCTGGCAAGATGACTGACGCTGATTCCAAACAAAGAATCTACTCAGCAACTGATGAAGATGATCGTAGTTTCACTTCAGTTGCAAGTATGAGCTCCAAATCCAGCCACACCAATTCAGTCCTTGAAAATGCTACACAAGGAATGTTGAGAAGGAAGAAAGAAGCTGAAATGTCAATGGAAAATGGCAAAGGAGATTCTATTTCCTCTTGTAGTCAATCAGTATGCAGTGACGACTCCTCAAATATTTTAAAACTTGAAAAATCAACAATCAAATCTTTATTGACTGATCTGATTGTAGAATCGGAGTCCGTGGAAGAGAACTTTTACGTCGATGCTTCGTAAGTATCTTTAATGTTACCGTACCTAACTTAAAGCATTATATTTTACAAGAGTAGAACCTGTATAACTTACCAAAATGGTGCGATAGGAATTGTAAATTGTTAAAACTGTAACGACTTTTCATTTTCACACGGTCCATAGTACTCAGAGTAATGTTCTAGAATAATTATTAATTGCGCTCAATGGTGTAGTATAATTCAGATGGCGTAAATGATTTCTTATAACTTTTTTTAACAAACACTTGTGTTGAGGTTCCGGTTATTGTTGTGTTATATTCAATCTAACAAAATAGTAATATTGTAATGTGTGATTGTGTATTCCAGTTCAGGGTTGTTTGTAAGACAACCCAAAACATTCAAAGTATAGAAGTCCAAATGTTTGCGGACAAAAATACTCTTTATCTGAGACAGCTCTGCTTCCTCTACTTCATTACTGATTCGTTGATATACATTTGAAAACTTTTGTCTACAACAGTTTAAAGTGTTAAGTGTTATTGGGAATTTATTGTGAATACGATCCAACATAGTTTTCTCTCAAACGCAACCCATATTTATTTAAGATTGATGCACATAAATTGAAAAATAGGTAGGCCTATTGTATTATTGATCTTAAAAGTTTATTCAAACTGTAATTTATTTATTAGTTACTGGAGTCTTGATTAAAAAGTTAATTAAACATAACCTGGCATAAAATGGATGAGTTTACTTTTAATCTATAATCTTACAACCCATGCTGTTTGAACTGTGAATACACCATGTTGAGTTGTATCATAGACAAAAGAATTAAATATAGACTGACAGCAGTGCTGCTGTTAGCTCATATTCTGGCGTCCACCACGCTGTAGTTTTGGCCCACACGACTGCAGAGTCAAGTGCTAGCAAGCGTTGCAATTACAAGTTGGTAGTTATAGCCAGGATTGCCAACTTCTGGAGAATTCGAGGAGTGTGAGTTTATTCCCTATTTTGTCCATGGTTTAAAAATTTCCGTGGATTAAAAAAAGGCTTTTCCATTAAAATTACGGGATTAAAGAATTTTTACATCACCTATATTAAAAAATGGGTTTGATACGTTGGTAACATTTTGTTTGTCAGTGGTTTATTTATTTGTCTATGGTTTCATTCACAATAAATTCCCAGTAACACTAAACTGTGAAGACTACAATGCTGCATCAGCTGATCACTAATGAAGTAAACAAAGGAAGGCTGCCACCATACAAGTTTGTTTTGTCCCTAAACAGTGAATATTTTTACGTGTAATTTGGGTTTTGTTAAAACCTGTATAGTATGTCTACTCTATTTTATACATAGTGTGATTTATTATTTTTTTAGTGAAGCTAAATCACCATGTTATTATTTTCACTAAACTGGTCTCCTAATGACTTATTTTTTTTCTTTCTTTTATGTCTGCCGTTTTCATCTGACATAAACAAACATTTTGTTGTTTCCTGGCATCATGTTCTGAGGTCCTTATCTCCCGAAAACTACGGCAAATGTCATATTCCAGAACTTTTGTTTAACTGATTAGTGATAGAACATGTTTTACACTTTAAACAGCAAAAAACCTATCACTAAAAATGGAAGTTTTAAAAATGGGTTTTAGGTGTTAATTTTATTCAACAAACTTTAAGAAGGATAGCTATTGCAGTTTCACTTGTTTTTGAAGAGTTCTGTCCAGTTTGGTAAACTACTTATGATGTTTCAGGGATTTGAATAGCTTTGTAAAATACATTAACACAAATGTCGGAGTCATGATTCACTCTAAGGACGATCGATTGATTCGCCCAGTGCCTAAGATAAACGAATGTTTTCTCCATGGACATGTTGTTGAGGTTAGTAAGCAACTCTTTATTCTTACGCTTTAATTTTTTTCCACTGTCCATAATTCACTTTTTAGTTTTTCCAGTAGATGGTAACACGGAGAATTAAGGTACAGAGGAAACGTTCAAGGGTACACTTAACTTAAGGTATACAAGCAGATTTTTTAATGTACATTCCTGGACTGAATGCTTGAAAATGGCAGCTTGCCTATTGACAAAAGTTACAATTTGGAACTGACTACAGGTCATATAAAACCAATTTTAGTCATTATTCAGTTCTGGGGCTACGACAATGAATTTTGGTACACCTTGGTGTCCAGCACTATTTGGTATCCATGGCAAAGTCCAACACCCCCCACCTTGCCCTCATGTACTACAACGTTCACAGTGTAGGAAGACCCTGTGCGATGGGAATTTCTGCACAGTGCTCGCCTCTCTTGCTCTTCCTTGCTCGTCAGTCGTACCAAGTATATTTACGGCACAACTAGAGATAAAAGCGCACCATGCCCCATAAGCAAGTTTTCTCTCTACTTTACTTCTCTGTGATGATAACTAAACGGCATTGCATGGTCAATAAAATCCTGTAACCAATATTCAGAAACACTGGCTAAGCCACGAGACTGGATATAGCAAATGTTTTTATTTACATCTGGTTTGTAACACAGATGAGTTGTTTTTGTTATTGTAAAAGTATTACTAATTGTAAACTAACTGACTGTAAGAAATAAGTGTGTTTGATTCTTTTATCTAAAACTAACTTAACTCAACTAAAATATATACACGCTTCTACACCTACACTAAAACTTAAACAGGTCCAGAAAACTCATCCCTTACTACTTTCGTGTCAGACAACTACTACAGGCCATTGACAAAGTTATTCGCAGCAGTTAATAGTTAGTACCTATCTTGGAATGTGAATATAAGTAAAGAGTATAGGTGGATGTCTGCTTTTAAAATTAGTTTTCATCTTTATACTGAAGTTCAATAAACTTTGATTTTCAGATTCGTGATGTTATCTATAGTGTTTTGAATAGAGATGGATAGGTCCCAAAATCGTTGAGAAACTTTTGATTACAAACTGAGTTTAGTGGTAAAATCATTCTATTAATATTTTCTTTGAGATTTCCAAATATTTAGTTGATCTTAAAGTTCATTCAGAGTTTGGTCATTTCAGGTCACACAAGACTCCACATCTTAAATGAAGAGATTAAACTGATTTGAAAGATGACAAAAACCTAATTCCAAAGCTTTCAGACCAAAGTATTATTGATTTAGTTTGTAAATGTTATCAGTTTTAATTATGTTGTATATTTTGTTTTAGTGTTATTGCTATCATTAGGCATAATTGTTTGTTTAAACCTTTTATGACCAGAAGTTAGTAATAGTATGTATTCTATTGAGGACGGTTTATTTTCATAATTCTCTGTAAATCTATACTGTACAATTTTAAGTTTTGTGTACTTTTATAATTTGTTATTGTTCTCTACTACTTACATAAATAATCTTCAATCTTGAACAACTAATGTGAAACTGTAGTAAGTGAAGCTATAGTCTAGCTTTATATGGTTTTTTGTGTGTCTTTAAACTAGGGATGTGCAAGCTAAAATTTTATTTGAGCTGAGCTTTTGTATTCAATGAATGCCTCGCAATATAAGTTCACTTTTCACAATACTTCTGTTCTAAATGCAATTTAATGTTTTTATGTAGAGTTAAATGAGAAATGGTACTTAAAAAAAATATCACCTCATTAAATTTGTTTCCAATAAAAATCGATACTGTATAGGCCTATTGTTTCAACATTTACATCAAGCCAGCATAGCTGGGTTAATGAGGGAAAATAGTCAAGGTCAAAAATTTTCCGAGATAAGTGTTTCCTAGATGTGAGGGATTGGTCTAAGAAATTGTTTAATCCTAGTTAGAATAATTCATATTAACTAGGGATGGTCAAGTCTCGAAATTTCGGGAAATTTTCGGGAAATTTTAAATCTCGTTACACGAGACGAGATTTCTTTTTGGCCGAGATTTTTA